TTTAAGCGTTGCAGCCTTCTTTTTTTTTTTTTTTTTTTTACACGATGCACACTTATGGTCACCAAATTTCCCTTGCTTTCTCTTGAATGATAACTGAACTAGCAGTAGAGACCTATGTGAATTGTTAGTTGTTGCTCCAGGAAACTCTGGAGGAAGAATAGATTTGATTCTGAATCTTGTGTTTCTCTGAGACAAAATAGCAGGTAGAATATAGGATTTTATGAGTCACTAGAATGTAACACTACACAATGATGAAAGCAGAGCTAGCTGTCACCTTTGTGCTTACTTCCTTCAGCACCAAGGATAGAGAGAATAAATGATCACACTTGTGAAATCACATGGGAGGTTCTGCAGCCCATGAAGGGTGATCCAGTTATCTACTGTCTTCAGGTCATGGTGGGAAAAGACTCGGAATTCAAACAGGTATGATGTGTTTAAGTTATTGTATTTTTCTTCAATTACTATTTGTGATAACAAGTTCAGTAAAATTAGTTTACTAAAGATTGTGTTCCAGTACATTTTTAGTCACCATGCTAACTTTCTGTTACTAAATAATATAAGGTAGTGTCTCTTAAAGCCATCATCACATGGAAAGGAGATTTAAGTAATACAAATTCTGCAGTAAGTTGCAGCCTCTCTGGGTTACACTGATGTTTACAACTTGACATCTCAAGTGGTGAGGAAGTCATCCATTAATGGGAACAACTGACAAAAAGAAACCTTTCACGCAATGGTACATAACTGAGACTGAGGAGAAAAGGAGCAAAGGGTTCTCTTTTCACTAAGACCTGTTTGAAGGCAGTAAACAATATTATAAAAGTGTTGATTTTGTTCAAGTCATACTTTTTTGCAGAGAACTGCAGAGGAAAGCCCCCTGCTTAGGCAATATAGACATTCAGTTGTAGGAATTTTTTTAATGTAATTCAGTGATTAGGTTTTCACCATAGGACCATTTCAGCAGCAGGGCATGCTGTAACTACAAAGGTTGAGCTGTTTCCTACCATTTCCCTGCCAAAATTTCAGTCTCCTCTCCTTCTTCTCCCTGATGCATTGTCCAGATTGTTCATGTCATGGCTTCTTCCATGCTAGAGTCAAAATAAGTTAGTGATCTGCTGTATGAGCTATATACATCAGTCTAAGCTCTTAGAGACATTAGGAAGCAACCATATAAATACCCCAGCAAATACATTTGAGGGAAAAGCAACTTTTGGCAAGGCACTGAGGACAAGCAGCTGAGGGCAGTAACCCCTGCCAGCTGGCATAGCAGTAGCTGGAGTAGGATGTGTGTCAGTGGCCTGTTTGCTCACTACCAAACACATGATCCAAATTAGCAGAATTTTGAGGAAGCTGCACTTCCGATGACCTGCCTCAGAAAGAAAAGTCTCTAGGTTGTAGATTCCAGTAAAGGACAGCAAGAGCTCTTCAAACAGCAAAATTGGAAGGGATTTCCTCCTTTCATTGAATGGTCAGTGGTTTACATTTGTGAAATACTGTCTAACAGTATGGTAACTGTAGGGAAAGGTCTTGCATGATGTGATATTTCTGTATCCTGTTACCAGGTAAATAAAGGAAATCCAGATATTGGGAGGTAGGAGGGTGAGGGGTTTTAAGAGAGAAATCAAATTGTACTGTGCTACCCACATAATGGCTCAGTACCTATTGATGTACCTGTAACTGTGCCTACATGAGTTTTTATTGGCTTTCACAGGACCTTTATGTAGCTGCAGATTTATTTAATTTGAGAAACCAGCATTTAGATTTCACTGAATTAGGCACTCCATGCTGAAGAGTTGTAAACTCATGTTAACCAGCCAACTGAGACACCTTTGGAGAACACCCTCATAAGTCATATCTGTCTTGGGAATATGATGAAATTAAGAATCACTGAGAGGATTCCTTGCAGCTTCCCTGATACAGTGTTTATTGGGATAAATTATAATATTTTAAATACATGATAACTTAACTACAACAAACTATGTTGGATTGTATTAGGCTTATTGAATTAGGTTTATACAGAGTTAACTGCCTAAAATCACTTGATAACGATATTGTATATTACATCTAATTATAAGGGGTCAGTAAAACACCTTAACACTGGGGTTTCTGACAGAGTTTATTTAGTGTGTACTCATCATTCCATAAAAGCAAATGTAGTTCTTGTGTTTCACTAAAAGGACTGGAGAGTTTATCTGGCATTTAAATTGCATGTTTGAGCTTCTTGCACGGGTGAAAACACTGGTGAGTTGTCATCAACCATACTGAGATAAATATGTATATAGGACTTTTTACTTGATGTATCTTTTTTGGTTTTCCTTCACTGCCAGATCTATAAGGGCCCAGACTGGTCATTCCGATACACAGGCCTTCAGCTGAACTGTGAATACCGTTTCCGCGCATGTGCCATTCGACAGTGCCAAGAGACCACAGGTCACCAGGACCTGGTAGGCCCCTACAGCGCACCAGTGCTATTCATCTCTCAGAGGACTGAACCACTGGCAAGCACCAACAAGGACACTGTGCAAACCACAAGGACACAATGGTCACAGAGTGACCAAGTGTGTGCTGCTGTCATCCTTGCACTTTTTGCTATCTTTTCCATTCTGATTGCTGTTATCATTCAGTACTTCGTCATAAAGTGAAGAAAAGAGATCTATTTTATAATGCTGCCCATTACATTTTACTTTCTCATAATCTAAAAGTAATTCTGTTCTCTTGCTTTTACAAAAACAGGCATTTAGCACCGGCATTGAGACTGATGCAAACTTTTCAGCCACTTTAAAACACTTAGTCATAGGTATAGGCTGATACATTATTAAAATGCAAGCCACAGAAATATAATCTTTTCTTTATATGCCTTCTTGCAGTACAAACTCGATATGGGGCAGGCACACAGTGTTTAATGAAAAGGATTTGACCATTAAACACGAGTGTAAAGATGATTTCCTGGCCCACACTTCTAAGAGTTGCTACCATAACAGGGAAGAATGTGTAAATCGCATTTAAAACTTACACTAACAAACTTGTGCTGTATACAATATTAATCTGATGCTGTGAAAGCAATTTAGCGCTGTATTTCTACCTCCTCATTTGTCTTAATTATTTGGGAAGCAGGATTTATGCTGAAAAACAGAAGGGGCTTTTCTCAGGCAGCAAATAATAAATACGATGGAAGAGCATGCATGAAGGAAGCTTCTTACCTGATAAATGTGGAGTTCTTCACTGCAAGTAGATGTTTTCGAAAGACTACAAGGAGATGGCACAAGTGGTTTATCTTACCCCCAGGATTTGATGTTTACTTACAAAAATGCCTCTTTTACTTCTGCATACAGAAGGGAGGGTGTGAGAGAACTTCTTAGACTTATTATTTAAATTTCAAAACAAATTTCTGAAGCTGACCTTTGACTGGATGCAGTTTATACCGATGTCTGTACCCTCTGATTTTGGCTAGTTAATAGATTTTTGAGATAAAATTCATTATTGAATTTTTGCTGTTTCCCCAACATTCACTTGCCATATCCACCAGAAACAAGCACTGCCTTTGTTTATTTGTTTTCTTTCTTTCCTTTTTTTTTACTTTCTTTCTTTCTTTTCTTTGGGGCACCAAATCAGAAGACGAAGTGTAGTAATTTGCACCAGAAAACTTAAAGCTGCTTTTTTCTTGAGATCCTAATGTTTAATGTAATGTCTCTTTGGATACTGTACCAAATTGTTGATTGCATGTAGTTAATGTTGCATTAGAGCACTTTGCAATGGCATAACTCATCAATGTTTTGTGAGCTTGCATTTGTGAGTTCTTGAATGACCAGACTGAACTTTAACAAGTATCCCATTGAACATCTTGCTAGATGTCAATGACTGCCAGTGACACAAAGCTTGTAGTGAAACTTATCTTTAAAAAAAAATCCTTGTCTCATCACACTTATGTTATTTGTTATACACTTTGTAATTAGCTATTTTTAATTTATTTGAGTTACAAGATAGTGGATCATTAATGGCTTCTAGTTGTGTTCAGTTTAGCATTTTTAATGGTATTAAACACTTCTGTCAGTCTTAATAATAATAAAAAAGGAACCTCTGTCTTGTGCTTTGAAGATCTCTGAAGAATTTCTCTTATATTAGAACGGGCATGTATTGTAATTGTTTATACGTCCAACGATCTGTGCTGTAGAATAATGTTGTTGAGTTCCATTTTTAAAGAAAAAAAAAAGAAATGGCAAAGAACTAGGCCTCCACGTGGCGAGAATGATCTGTCTTTAAAATGTACTGTATGTTTACATTTTATTTCCAATTTGTCGTTTGTACTTATAGGCTGATACCTTCCCACAGGATACCACGATAACTGATGTTTTCTAGAACCTTCTTAAAAGTGCCATGTTTGGCAGTGCAAATGAGGTTGCGTGTCACAGCCCAGAGATTTCTTACGGTTGAATGTCTAAAAACGGTAAGATTTGTTACTGCAGGTAACCTGCAGTGACCTACGTTTTTCATAGTAAAATTCAAATGAGCTCCTATTTTTGATAGTCATTTAATAGTGTATTTGCCATTTGAGCCTCAGTGCATATTACTGCATTGACGACAGTTTTTAATGTAATCTTAATTTTACCTCATATACTGTACATTCCAAAAATAAATAAATAAATAAAAGAAAAAGAGAAGCTCTAAAGTTTTTAAAACTCTATAGATACACTACCAAACATATCACTTTACGGTTGTACAACGTCAGGCTCCATGAAGACCAATCTGTATAGTCTGATAGAAAATACATAAAACGATGTAGCAAAGTACCTTTAAGAGTCTGTGGACAATAAAAGTACCTTCTTTTTCGCTGCTGGTGGTCAGTCCTGTGCGCGCTCCGCCGCCGCCCCTCTCCCATCCCTTCTTCCCTCCCTCCCTCCCTCCCTGCCGGGACCGCGGGGCGGGGCGGGGGCGCGGTACCTGCGGGCGGCGGGAGTCCCAGCGGGGGCGGGGACGCGGCCAGGGGAAGGAGAGGCGCTGCCCAGGGCTCAGCGCGTCCCCCGGCGGGATGCGGGGCGGCGGCGGGAACGGCAGCGAGGGCGAGCCGTGGCCGTGGCCGTGGCCACCCTGCGACGAGCGACTGTGCGTGGCGGTGCCCCTGTGGGTGCTCGTTCCCATCACAGCCATCTGCCTGGGGCTCTTCGTGCTCGGCGTGGCGGGCAACGTCCTCACGGTGCTGGTCATCCGCAGCTACCGCGACATGAAGACCACCACCAACCTCTACCTGGGCAGCATGGCCGTCTCCGACCTGCTCATCCTCCTGGGGCTGCCCTTCGACCTCTACCGCCTCTGGCGCTCCCGGCCCTGGATTTTCGGGCAGCTGCTGTGCCGCCTCTCCCACTACCTCAGTGAGGGCTGCACCTACTGCACTCTCCTCCACATCACCGCCCTCACCGTGGAGCGCTACCTCGCCATCTGCTTCCCCCTCAAGGCCAAGGTGGTCGTCACCAAGCGCCGGGTGAAGGCCATCGTCGGCGTCCTCTGGGCCTTCGCCTTTCTCTCTGCCAGCCCCTTCTTCTTCCTGGTCGGCGTGGAGCAGCCCGACAACCACACCGACTTCAGCCGCGAGTGCAGGCCCACCCCGCAGGCCTTGGAGTCCGGCCTGCTGGCCACCATGTTCTGGGTCACCACCTGCTACTTCGTCCTGCCCGTCATCTGCCTCAGCGTCCTCTACGGCTTCATCGGCCGGGAGCTGTGGCGGAGCAACACCCGCCTGCGGGGCCCCGGCTCGGTCCTCCGGGAGAAGGGGCACCGCCAGACAGTCAAGATCTTGGGTGAGTCCCTCTGCCCTTTCCCCCGGGCTATGGCTGGGGCTAGGACCGGGGCTAGGGGGCTGTGGCTGGGGTTAGAACCAGGGCTGAAGCACCTGCAGCTCCCGAGCAGGATAGGGAATAGGATAGGGGGACATCCCAGCCACGGTGCTGAGCCCACCAGTGCTCCTGGGAACTGCCACGGCAGGGATTTCGCTCCCTCACAACTGAGGCTTCACTCGTGTAGGATTGCACATCCAGCAGCACGACTGCCTTCTGTAGAAATACCCTTTTTCTAAACTTTACCAGCCAGAATTGTGTACAAGGTAGTCTGCAACTTCAGTAAAACTGTAACATCAGTAGTCCCTTCCAGTGGGCAGCAACACCTCTGCACAAAAATTTCTGAAAAATAAGTTTGATTTCCTTAGTGGTCATTTGTAGCTCTCGTAGGAGTAAATCAATCCATTGGTTGCCCAAGGGGACTAAAAAAAAAGAAACTTAACCCTTATGAGCTGTTTGAAGACAACTCATATAATACCAAAACACTTCCTACAGATGGATGCTGTTCGTTTTTAGTTTATTTTTTAGTCATATATTAACCCAGCATCAGGCTCTGGAAGGATAGAGATCACAGTCTGCTCTGGGGCTTCAAAGTTTGTAAGCAGTGACCAATCTGAAGGGGGGGAGGAAAGGAAGGGAAAGGAATAAAAAAAGAAATCCAACAAAGCAGCATAAAAACAATGGCCTTGTTATTTTTTTCTTTATACCTTTAGTGCAGTTTTTACATGCTACACAGGAGACTTCTTTTACCAAGGATCAGCTAGTAAATCAAGGGTCAGGTAATCAGCTGGATGGAAGTAGTGTATCACAAAGGAAAGGAACTAATAAGCCTGAGAAAATTTTTGCTGACTTAATCGAGGAAGGTATTTACATTGAAGCAGGCATAAGATTTTCCAACAGAAACACCCATATCCATGATCTCCTCAGAACCCACTGAACCAGACCAATGCTCCCTTATCTCGAAGAGCCAGGAGCAATGTGTTTGTGCTGTATTTCAGATGTAAACTTTCTTTGGCTATAGCCTTTTTCTTTTAATCTCTGAGAAACACAGAGAATGCTCCACAAATTATTGTTTTACTTACATACATTTATAAACAAAAGTAGTTAAAAATATGGATACAGTAATGCACTTATTTGATTGTTCTTCATCTGCTCCTGCTGTGTTGCTATTGCAAGAGTGTATTTGTTTGCGTTGTGCTAAAATGCAACACAAGCCCAGGAGAACAGCTGAAGTGACTCAGGCTAGAGATCCATCTAGTAAAATATGTCTCCAGCAGTAATTGTCTGGGGATATGTGTTGGAGCTTCAATGGAAAAAAAATTAATAGCCCAGCTACGCTGTAAGGTCTTTACATTAGATCCCATCCCACCACAATAGTGCAAATTCCGTAGGAGCTTGGGTGACCGACTTGCAGCCCTGGTCTTTTTCAGTGATGTAAACATGTTAAACAACTCTGCAGCAAATGGCTGTGGAGCTTCCTCAAAAACACCTCTTCTTATTCTGAGTTTTGTTTTCATATCACATATGTGGCATTACAGACATTGCCGAGAGGATCTCTGTTGTGCCTGCTGTTATATGGATGTTATGCCACTGTTGGTTGTTTACATTTTGCTCAGCAAACTCATCTCACTGTTAAGCTTAAGATTTTACCAGTTACCTTTTAATCCAAAGACTTACAGTCAGACTTGATGCTATTCCCATTTGATGCTATTCCCATTTTCATGGTTTTCCAACAATTCGCTGCCATTATTTCTACATATCATTTGTACCAATTAGAAGAACCTGCAAAATCAGCTGCATAAAATTTAGTTTACTGTACGGTTGAAAAGTTAACTCACTCCTTAACTGCCGCATATGTTATTTTGTCTTATAGCTGTGGTGGTTCTGGCCTTTGTAATTTGCTGGTTGCCTTTCCACATTGGCAGGATCATATTTATAAACACCCGAGACATGAGGACGATGCTGGTCTCCCAGTACTTTAACATATTTGCTCTGCAGCTTTTCTACCTGAGTGCAACCATCAACCCTGTCCTCTACAACCTCATGTCAAAGAAGTACAGGGCAGCAGCCTACAAGCTGCTGTTGCCACGCCGAGCTGCAGAAAGGGCTTTCACAGTAACAAAAGATGCTAGTGGCTACACAGAGACCAGCGCCAGCACAAGGAACGAGTACACCACCAGCTTCTGAGACTGCAGCCTGCACTTTTTTCCGGCATTCTTGCCTAAGGAAGGAAACTTCCTATTTGCAGGAGAGTTGTAAAAGGATGGACATTTGTTAGGGCTTGTGGTATTTCATAATTGTTTCTATTTTGGAATGTACAGGTATTTTGGAATACCTGTATTTTTGTTAACGGAGCAAGCGGGCACCATAAAGTAGGTGCAACTTGTTCAATTCGTGAAAGATGAGGAACAGTAAATTGCCAGTAAAACCGTGGTTTTACTTTATACATGTTGTTCATTGCATATCTTCTGTGCAATTTCTAATATTTTCTAAAAATCATAACATCAAGGTCTGCAAAGGAGCACTTCTTGGATTTAGTAATGGGTAAAATTCCCAGACTGCCTTTGCCATTTTAAATCGGTTTTCTTATAAACGAGATTTTGCAAAACACCGTCTCTCATGGAGACAGACACCAAAAAAAAAATCACCCTCCAACTTAAACAGCCTTGGAAGAAGAGGTATATGTTCTTACTACCTGGTCTCATAATCATGAAGGGGACTTTCCTGGGCAATTTCAGTAACTCTTCCCTTAGGAAAGCATCTGCACTGCACAGCAGCCTCTGGGTTTAATCCTTTTGGCCTGCCCCATGTGATCAAAGAAAGTCTCTTATTCATATGCTAGCAGCCAGTTCTCTGTATTTGTAAAAATTTAGATATTCCAGATCATTTCTTTGTGATAGATGTGTAGTGTGTGGCAGATGTTAGTGGTATGTGTCCACTGTGTCCCGTTGTGTACTGCGTATGCAAATAATATGCCAAGTTAACCCATCTTGCCACAAATGAGACCTGTCACCGAACATGCTGGACTACACTCAGGACTTACTGCTGTGTAACACTGCACTACAAGTCAAGAGCCAACCCACTAATTCTGCTCCAAAAGATTTTAAATGCAAACTTCAGCTGTACAATTTAGGAAGGAGGCTCGTTGTGAGAAAAAGCTAGAAGAAGCTGCAGCACTGATTTCTCCAGAGGATCGTTGCATCTATAAATTTTACTTGTTACCTTCCTGGCTATAGTGATGTAAATCTGGACCAGAATCCGTGAAGTGGGACTATGCTTACAGAAACATCACTGTGGTATGTCAACACTTGCCCTTGGTTCTCTGTTAATTCCTCTTCCTTTTAGGTAGTTGTACAAAGTGATGCAGTCCCCCCTGAGCCTCCTTTTCTCCAGGCTAAACAATTCCAGCCCCCTCAGCCATTCCTCATATGAATTACTGTCTAGACCGTTCCCCAGCTTCACTGCCCTTCTCTCCATTGAGGTGCTCCAGCATCTCAATGTCCTTCCTGAACTGAGGGGCCCAGAACTGGACACAGTACACAAGGTGTGTCCTCACCAGGGCCAAGTACAAGGGAACACTGGCCACACTATTGCTGATACAGGCCAGGATGCCATTGGCCTTCTTGGCCACCTGGGCACACTGTTGGCTCATGTACAGCTGCTGTCAACCACCACCCACAGGTCCTTTTCCATTGGGCCACTTTCCAGCCACTCTTCCTCCAGCCTGTAGCGCTGGGCTATGATATATGATCATGGGGTTGTTGTGGCCCAGGTGCAGGACCCAGCACTTGGGCTATTGAGCCTCATATAACTGGTCTTAGCCCACCAATCCAGTCTGTCTAGATCAATTCAACAGAATTCAATAGCTATCTCAGAGATCTCAAGATGGCAGAATTGAACCCAAGCCTTTTCCAGGTTTTAAAAATATGACCAGTTCTCCAGACAATCTCTAACTCTGAGTCACTGAATAAAAAAAATCTAAAGACAGAAAAAGTCTCTTATCTCACTGAATACATATTAAGCTTTCTTTTTCTTCTTGTCAGCCTCATACAGGCGGAGAGCAGTTGTCTGCAGGGCTTGGGTTGGTTTGCTCTTGCTGCAGGATGTCATTAAAATGTTATAAAAGAACAGCTATTATTTTGTGGGTTTTTTTAGATAAGTTATTATTAACAGTATTCTTTGTAAATGTATGTAGGCCAAGGGGGGGAAAAAAGCTTTATCACATTAATATGTGGACATGGAGCTGCTTCTGCGTGCCTGTGGTGTCCTGATAATGGCTTTCCTTTATCAATAGTTACTAAATTGCACTACGATGTAAACAAATACTTGCCTGGCAGAAATTTCCCTGAAAGCAATTGTATAGGTACCGTCAACACAAGATGTGAGTGGGAGAAGGGAGGGAAATGCCCTGGTGGGTTGCTGCCCTGAACCCCCCTTTTCTAGGGTGCAGTCCCTTCCACAGAGAGCCCTGGCACTGCTCTGCTCTCTGCGTGTGCTGGGTGTCCGGGGCAGGTCCCCCACAGTCGGGACCGGGCTTACTGATCGCTGACTGCTTGTGGGGTGACAGTGTTCCTGCAGGGAGCTTCAGGCTTAGGCTGCTCCTGCCTGGCCTCAGACACCACAGCAGCAAGCCTCTGCTCCCAGTGGCAGACTGTGGAAATGGTCTGGTTTTCCGGGAAAGTCATTTGTATCTCTGTTATAAATATCCTCTTTGCCTGCTTAGTAGAGTAATGCAGGCAGCAAACTACACTTGTGAGATGGTGGTGCCTTTTTGTTAATGCTCTCTACCCACCAGAACAAATGCTTAGGAAATAGATGAAGTTTGGGGTATTTCCTCAGAATTAACCAGGCCTGGCACTGCTGTCTCTGGTGGTCGGTACTCAATTGTGTAAGGAGGCATGTTGTAAATAAAAAAAAAATAGCACTTATTTATTTCCAGGAATTCTGTGTCCAGGTGCAGCCAGGCTATCCTTAGTGTCAGTGCCATGCAGGCTATAAAATACAAGGGAAAATGGACTAGAGGTGCAGAGCAACTGTGACAGGCAGAGAGAAAGAAATCATAATTTTAAAAAGAGAGAAAAGGGGGGGGAGTGTAAAAGAAAAGCACAAATAACGAATGATAAAAAGGAAAGGATGGCAAGATGGTCTGGTTTTTAAAGAGGTACAAGCTTACTTACATTGACAATCACAGGAAAGAAAATCGGTGATTTGATAGAGACCACGACTGACCCTGGAGACTTGTACTTATGAAGGCATGAAACCACAATTAACCAACTGAAGTTTGGAAGGGACCTAAACCCGTTCATTCTTAAACATGTGGACAGGTTGTACTTAACAGAGTGGAAAGAAAGCCCTCCCAGGAACCGTAGCCTAAACCCACAACTTTAAAACCCCAGCGGTGGGTTGGCACCGGGGAATGCTTGCGACGTCCCATCGGCTTCGGTGCCGCAGGGACCCCGCAGTCTCGGGCACTGCTTGCTGATTGCCTGCCCCGGACGGAAGGCAGACAGGCAGGGAAGGCAGGAAGGCAAGGGAAAGGCGAGGCGAGGAGGGAGGGGAGGGGAGAGGGCTTAAGGGCAAGTTGAGAAAAGACCAGGAAAATCCATGGAAACCCTTTTCTGGGAGGGAGGTGACATCTGCAAAATCTTACTAGTTTGATGCAGACACATGAAGCTTGTGAAAGCTTTACAGTCTAAACAGTTGTGACAGAGAAAGAAGACTGATAGCCTCTGAAAAACAGATCATTAGTATGGGATCTACCCATGGCTGCCTGTGCATCCAGCCTCCTGTGAGCCTGCGCTGAAGCTGCTGCAACTGCTTAATAAATTTATCAATACCTGGTTTTAAGTCAGTAGCTTGTCACATCTGTTAGGCTGTCCCTCTAATCAGGCATAAACAAAACTGCTGGAGTTATTTGGAAAACATATTTGCGTATTGTGTGGATTTCAGCCAAGTGTTCCTGCTGGTACAATCCAGGTTTGTTCTAACAACAGTCAAAAGGGAAACAGCGAAAGCAGCAGCCACTGCAATGGGCAATGCTGGTGCAAATGTCAGAAAGTCACTCCCCGTCACTCTTCTTATTTCCTATCTGATTTTCATATTCATTAGCCAGTTGTACGTGGTGTATGTAACTCTGCAATAAACATGGAATATAATATGCCCTGGCTGTGACGTAATTTCATTTTTCACCATTTCACTTACCATGACTCTAAATCAAATATATATTATATTGTCTATATTAGACAACAGTTATTTGATATCTATTCTAAAAAATTGAATTTCTGTTCTAAAATAAACATGGAAAACTAGTTATTTCTTACTGTAAGAACCAATATTTCTCTCTTCTATTTAATCAGATATAGCCTGATCTGCATGTGTTGATCCTCATAAGGGAGTCAAAGCACCTCTCATGCCCAGTAAGTTGACACTTCATGGTTTATTACTTATTTCCCATCAACAAAATACATACATAGGTGTGATCTACTCAGATTTAACTAAAACTTTTTTTCTGGATTGGAAAGAAATGGCTCTTCTGGTCCTTGTGGAACGTCTGCATTTGGTTTTTTACCAATTGTTATACTATTTATAAAGACTTTTACAAAAAAATGCAAACCAGTCCTATTTTCCCTGTCTCTTCAGAAGTCACGTGAACCAAGAAAAGAGGATTTTTTCCAAGGGCATCTCCTGCAAGGAATTGAAACATTTAAACATCAGTTTCCAAATGCTGCCACTCCAAAACATAATTGCCAGAAACCAGATAGTGGCACCAGCTTTTTTCCCTTCCGATTCAGCAAAGAACCCAGGACAGCAGCAAAGACCCACTCAGGGATGCACAGGATGGCCCTGGGGCATCCATCGGGCAACTCCTTCCCTGCTTGCCCTTCTCTGGGGGAGTTTGGTATCGGGGCAGGGGGAGGCGACTGTCACCTCCTCCCCCAGCCTCCATGTTTCACCTGCCTTCTTCATACAGCAGGTTCTCAACTGTTGCTGGCCTTGACCTGTAAATCAAAAATGCCTTTGCTGTCTGTTTTTCTCTGTTAGAATAATAATAATTAAAAAGGACAACTGACCAGAGGGGCACCATCACTAGTTTATAGAGGTTTGAGCTTTTGATGAATAAAGAACTTCCAAGTTCAAAGCTGCTCTTTTACTTGCTGTCTCCAAGGCCATGTGCAGCTGGCCTGACAAACAGAGAAGTGCAGGGACACATTTTCTCCCTGCAGCCATCCCCTTAAAGTCCCATTTGGTACTGCTTCATTGCTCCCACAGGGAACACAAAGCCTAAGGCCATCTCCAGCAATCAGATGAAGAGATTATAGAAACTAAGAGGAAAAAAAACAGGTATAAAATGACTCAGGTGTAACTCAAACTGCTCTGAATTAGCTAAACCGACTGAATATGACCTTAAGCTTGGCTGGGGTTGCCCCCTCCTATTTGATGTAGGAGCAGGCTTAACTTCACCAAAATAAGCCCATTCTATCATAAAATTAGTATCCAGAGGTATATTTCACTGATTTGGGGAACTATTTACAAACTGGTTGGCTGTCACTTTATGCTCTTGGGCACCTGTGATGCTGCACTTGAGCTTTGTTGGACATTTCCTGGAGCTCAGAAGAAAACTGGGAGAAAACAGTGCAGCTGGGGATAAGGTTTGCATTTGAGCAGCTAGAGGGCAAATATGAAATTAAACCTCTTGTACCAGTAGATCTTAAAACATTTTCTCATGAGGCAAAGCACAGCATTTTCCACAGGCTCAAGTCCAGTGGTTGTGTTATTGCTTATTGCTGATGCAGGCGCAGTGCTTCTCACAACAAGGCAGACAAGGGCTTGTAATATCTGGGTGAGTATCAAGTGACCAAGCACCTCTGGAGCCTGCCCAGACATCACTTATGGAACCTCAAAATGAGCCTCAAAACACTGGGAGCAAAAGCAACACTGTCTTCTGCTCAGTGTCCCTACTGTGGGAACCCTCTAGTGACCCCAAATGTTAAGGCTGATGCCATCCAGTGCTTCCTTGCATAGAATCTCCACAAATCTCCAAGCATGCCACCTAAGCTTAAGATTTCCAGAGCATTTAGAAAAGCCAGCTTTGAACCACAAAATGGCTGTCCAAGTTGGGAAGTACCTAACAGAGGTGAGGTTGGAACCACCTCCTGCAGCAGCTCCAAGCAGCAACACCCACTGCTCTTCTGTCCTAGGCCTGGGTACATCCGAGTCAGTGTCCTCAGTCCCCCACAGCCAGGATCAGAGCTTCCTTACACATCACCTCAGTCTCCTTCCTGAGCTGGGGGCTCTCAGGCCTCTTTGGACAGCAGAGCTCCAAAGGTGGGGGTGGCATATACCCAGGGAGAGGACAGAGAGCAGTAGGTCTGACAACTCTCTCCTGCCTCTCACCTGCTTCATCTTCCCCTTGAATCACCCCATCTGCATGCCACCCCTTTTCCAAGGTGAGCCCCT